CACAGTAACAAATACCAAATGTCTGAGTAAAAATATACATCCATGAGGAACTTCTCTTCTTTCTGCAATAAAAGTATTTGCATATGACCATTTGTAACATGACTGTACCATAGTCAAGACTCCGGTCTTAACATCTGTGTCATTCAAAGGGAAAATCACAAGAGATATATCATATCAGTGAATGTAGAAAAATGGAACCAAAGGATTAACACTGAACGTTTACCCTACTAGCATTTTAGGTAGAAAACAGTTTTTTGAAATTCCGATTAAACAATGATACCCATCAAAAGGGCTTTGCATTGGCAAATAAATCGCATTGCAACTGTGCTACAGGTATCTGTATTTTGACAAATATTGCAGTTTATTACTCACCCGTGGAAGATACTGCAGTGTAATATTTTAACGGCAATATTACACTAGTGTAATAACGCTAGACGTATGACGTCATAATGGTTTACAGTTATGACGTCACAATGCTAATACCTCTGTCACAATGGTATTAGGCCTTGCCTGACTCGTGGACAGCTGAGAGTCATCCCACTTCGTAGGCAGTTTCTATCAGTTTCTATTGGAGAGTAATAAACAGAATAATAAACTCGCTTCCGTGAAATACCATTTTTATTAAACCGTGAAAGATTTAGCATCAAACTCGTTTTCGCTCGTTTGATACCAAATCACCAACTCATTTAATAAAAATGGTATTACACGGGAGGTCGTTTAGTATCCTCTATATATTTGCCAGTGATGATGACTGTACATGCACATCCTATTTTCTACAAACATGGCAGTAAAAACATGAAAACTGGTTCTGACATCAATCCCCAATACAGGCTGGAAAGTTCGGGATTCCTTCCTTCTGATACAATATATAGCATAAAAAGTAAGACCCTTTTGTTAATTAATTGCAATGGGAAACATTAGAATTGAATGTCTGTGTAGCTTTTACCTTAAAAAGAGATAATGACAGAACTTGTGATATTTATTTTAAATCTAAAATACTGTGCAGTTCTACCATCAAGATTGTTATTGTTAGATTTGTAACCAGGGACATAGGAGACACCACGCTTCGAACAGATCAAATTGTGATCTATCACCTTGTGTCAACTTGATGTTGGAGTGAGTGAGTGAATTTAGTTTTACGCCGCTGTTAGCAATATTCCAGCAATATCAGGGCAGAAATGGGCATCACACATTGTACCCATTAGGGAATCAGACCCAGTCTTTGGTGTGACAAGCGAAGGCTTTAACCACTAGGCACCCCACCGACCATCTTGATGTTGGTGATACATGTACCTAGCTATGAGTGAACCCATTTACCACTACGCTACCCAACCACCCATAACAATATCTTTTTCACACGGTGCACCAATAATGTTTAAATCTGGACTGAGAATGGTGACTAGGCCACTCATACAGGAAAAACAAATTCATATTGTATTTATTCCTTTCACTGAAATTATTGGAACTTTATGACTAAGAAAATAAATACTAACCATCCTCTTGGAGAACAATAAAACAAAAGACAGTATATAAATTATGACGAAATAAATATAATATTTAAAAATCAAACTTGAAATAAAATACATAAAATATGACCACATGAACAGTTATTTTGTGGTGATGGGATTTCTGTTTCTGATCTTTTAGTTTGAGATGAATATCCTCATTAAATAGTTATCTAAAAAGTATTCACTCAAGACAGACAACCACATGTTCAAGTAGTTAAATCAAATTTAATTAATCTGAAATAAAATGCTTATTGTACAGAAACCATGACAACAAACTACCTAGATCCGTGGCATAATGAGCTAATGAAAATAACCTGACAGAAATTCAACACTTGATCCTTTCTGATAGAAACATTAACATCAAGTTACCCATGATTTGTTGGAATGCCCAAAACATGACTATAAAGGCACTTATCATACATACATCTTCAAAAGACAAAGCTTTATGTCTGAGAAAATTGGTCTGCATTGTTTCTGAATTTGCACGAAGTGTATCCCTGACCAGGGGTGGAAATAACTTTAAAATTGTTAGTGTACTCCGGTACAGTGGCACATGTAAAATCACTTGTCCTGATAATTTTTCCACTATACTGACCGTTTTCTTGTTGATTTTCTAAATAAACAACATAATTAACATTGGAATATCACCTGGACACCGGTACAGTGTGATATACAAATTTGCTTGCCTGACAGAAAAAAACACTGGACTCGGGCGTCGGGCAATGGGTTATTTCCACCCCTGCCGACTCTCCCAATACCTCATTAAATCCATGTAGTGGTGGATGACAACATGAAGTAAGTACCACACCACTGTGTGAATGACAAAGGTCTGATGACAATAAAATAATCTGTCAATATACACTACTCAAAATGAGCTAAAGACGAAGACAGATTTTTTCATGACAGATATAATGGTAGTATGGTATTATGAAAGAATTTGGTATTCTTTACCTTTATTTAAAAAGCATATAACACACAAGCGACATGACGGACATGAAGGATTCTGTACCCTGTCAAGAATATAACTCTCTATGACATCACAATATGAATTGGATATATTTTGAGTTGCCAGTATTGAGATGAATACACACAACTTGTAAATGTTGGTGTATGCACTCTTTATCAACATACTACTAAGGCTTTTTGGCTAGAATGCACTTTACCGGGCGCAGCCCTCGCTGCTCCCTTTACGATCCTTAGGGTTAGGGTATGGCGCCCTTTATGACCCTTAGGGTTTGGGGTTAGGCACCCTTTACTATCCTTAGGGTTAGGCACCCTTTACAATGCTTAGGGTCAGGCACCCTTTACGATCCTTAGGGTTAGGGGTTAGGGTTTAGGGTTAGGGAACCCCAGCAGCGCTAACTAATCTGGAAAAGTGCGCCCGGTAAAGTGCAGTACTCCTGGCTTTTTTTATTACCTGCCTAAAATGTGAAGAAAGTGAAAAAAAATTTTTTTGAAAAAATCCGTAAACCAAGTAATTAATAAAAAAGTCTTAAAGGGATTTCTACAACCAGACACTAGACAGATGATATCCAGCACTACACACTAAAACCCATGTTCGGACAGAATTCCAGTTCATTCACAAACTGTCAGTTTAATGTATTTCCTGCAGTTTGTTTAATCCCATACTCAGCTATATTTTTCAGACCAGACAATCCCTTGATCTGACATGTTGAACAATCAGGATGCAGTGACATGCAAGTCGATGAGCCGGATTGTATGATTAATTGATGTGAGTTTAATTTTACGCCGCACTCAGCAATATTCCAGCAATATGGCGGCAGTCTGTAAATAATCAGACCAGACAATCCAGTGATCAACAGCAAGAACATCGATCTATGCAATATATGTGATGTGCAACCATGTATCTATCTGTATTCTGGGCCAGTGGCCTTTTACTGAATAAAACTGTCTGTCTGTCTGTCTGTCTGCAATTGGGATATGATGACATGTGTTAACCAAGTCAGCGAGCCTGACCCTCCGATCCCATTAGTCGCCTCTTATGACAAGCATGGGTTACTGAAGATCAATTCAACCCCGGATTTTCGTGAGTCAATAACTGAAGAAGCCTCTTACATCCATAGGATGCAGGCGACCTGTTGATTCAACCAGAGTCTCAACGGGCTTCGTCTTAAAGAGGGAGGAAAGCATGAAGTGATAAAACTGTGATGCTTACAAACCAAGTATCACAAACTCAAACCCACTATCACAGCATCCTCTCCCACAGAAGGGACACAACTCTAGTGGGTGAGTTTAATGACATTTCTAGCAACATTCCAACTCCATCATGGCAGAGACACAACAAATGTGCCTTACGAGAGTCATCGAACCCAGACTGACTGACTGAGTTTAGTTTAGTTTTACGCCGCTTTCAGCAATATTCAAGCAACATCACGGCGGAGGACACCTGAAATGGGCTTCAAACATTGTACCCATGTGGGGATTCGAACCAGGGTCTTCGGCGTGACGAGACAAAGCTTTAACCACTAGGCTACCCCCACCGCCCCATCGAACCCAGACATGACAAGCAAATGCTTTAACAGCTAGGCTACACAACTGCCCCTCTGTGACTGGCTTTTCACCATGCCCATGACCCTCATGGGCTGAGCTTCATGATCTGTTTATGTCAATGTCAGATCATAGAATTAGCATACAAGGATGTGTATGGTATTAGCATGTCCCTTCCACAAGGAACAAGAGGAAAGGAGATGTTGATGAGGCCTTACAAGTCAAGCATCTCGCGCTTCCTGCCAACTCCAACACTGACCAATGTTAGGTTGTGACAGGAAACCAATTATGACTCAAAAACACTCAACATGTCAAATTGAGCTTATGGCTATCATGGTTGATTATGCTTATAAGGAAAACACATACTATTTCTCCTACATATTCAGTATTTAAAAAAATAGATGTCTGTTCCCCAGTGTCATCGTTTAAGTGTATGACAGTTTTAAACTATGACAGTTCATCAACATCTTATCAGACCTGCTCTGCCAACATCATGGCAGGTAAAGGGAGGCCACTCTGGCTGGAAGGTTATCCCAAACATGTCACACAACCATACAAAGATTATGAAAAACATTATCTCTGATTGTATTCATGATTAATAATATTTAACACGTTTAATCCAAGGTAGCTATGTTTATTTACACTATACATCTGGCCTGTTTTGTTATAAAGGAGTGGAAAATGAAAACCCAAGAGATCACAAATCAATGGAGGTATTTCTCCATTGTTAAAACATATGTTCATGTATGCTGAGCTTGAAATAATGTAAGTGAGTATGGCTTTACGCCGCTTTTAGCAATATTCCAGCAATATCACGGCGGGGGACACCAGAAATGGGCTTCACACATTGTACCCATGTGGGGATTCGAACCAGGGTGTGCGAGCCAACGCTTTAACCACTAGGCTACCCCACTGCCCCATCGAACCCAGACATGACAAGCAAATGCTTTAACAACTAGGCTACCCCACCACCCCTGAAATAATGTTAAGTACAATTCAGCAGAGTAAAACAAACGCGATTCAAACATAACTGTTCCAGTTGAATCTTCTGGATTGGAAAACTTCAAACATTCGAAAAAAACACATTGAAACTCATGAAAACGACATCATCTAAGATCTTATTCCTTATTGTTCTTTATATAAAAAGTGGAATCTTTCCAAACACAGAAGCACTAATGCTGACAAGGCTTCAGTCAGCCAACTTTTCATCAATCATGCATCAAAAATGCAGAATAAAATGCTGATTTATGTGAATAATCAAATGTCAACAAAACAACTTTGAACAGCTTTAAAACTGGTAAGGACTACGATTCTTTCATATTACTGAAGATAATCTGACATGCAGATTAGCTATAGTTATATGAAAGTACTGGATATTCCATAACATTTTAGTACTATATGACAACAGTGATTCACCTGTGAAGTCAAGCTATACTGTCGTCATTTGATTCTTCTGACTGACCAATAAGAATGCTGCCATGTTCAAAATCTGATTGCAACAACAGTGAAGTACAAATGTTGAATACAAATTCATCAACTTTAATAAAATCAATCTCTAAACATGTTTAAGAAACTACATACAAACTCGACGAAAGACAGTAAAAGGTCACAAGTTTCCTCACTATTAACATGATTAAGATAAAATCCTTCAAAAATAAACACTGTGAGATTAAGCTTGAATCTACTACACTATTCATATATGAATAGATTGTATCAAGCAAGAGCAGCCTTGTACACATGTGACATTTCACAAAAAAGGCAAAATAAATATCTTCTAAAAGTATTCTTCTTCTAAAAGTGGCAACAATGTCACAGATCAATCTCAAGACAATCATATCTTTCATAATCCTGCGTGAAGATCTGGGTCCGTTTAACAAAGAGATCGTAGTGCTACAACTGTTGTAAGTCTATGTTAAAGTATTTGAGTTACGATTGCTTTGAGAAACGGGCCCTGACCACCAGCTCATGGAAGGATGTGTCAGGCAAGGCTCTAATCAGTCTAGCAGAGTTCAGGCTTTTAAAGTTTTGTACTACCAGACCAAGTATTTCAGAGAAGCTTTCAAAAATGAACATAAACAGTAAGTTCTGAATGAAATAATAAAAGTGGCACTACTATTGTTGCAGATATCAAATGCATTGTCTGTGAGCACAGTGGAAACTTCACACAACAGGGAGAACCAGCGATGGACTATCTGCGTTCTTTGTTGTCCCCTTGATATATTACAATGTGGTAAAGAAAGACAAAAGGGCTGAAATCTGATGGGCCCTAGAACTCACAGATCCATCATTCAGACTGGCCTTTCAAAGTTATTTCTTGGTTCATAGACTTGACCCACGATGGAGATTGGGTTTGTCAGATCTTCATGCAGATATCAGAGTCAAGATTTGATTTTAATGAGATTGAGTCACTGATATGACGTGAAACATTAACCAGTTTCATAAATGCTGAATCATCACTTTTCTCAACAAACACTCCAGCACAAACGCTATGCAGCATTACTGTCATGTAACATTTTTATCCCTCCCTTTAAACTTCTGGTCTAACTGACAAAACGGCCAAAGTTGCAAATATTGTTCATGTTTTAGCACCATTTGTTTCATAACGCATAAAACCATTTTCTTTCCAAGAATTGTCAGTACTAATGACAGTATCACAATCTCCGAAAACATAGGAACGCCAGGAATCCTGTAACCATAGCAACGGATGCTTCCACGCTTCACAGATCATTTAATAACAGATGTGATCTTGTAGCACAGCCTTGACCTTGAAACATCAGCTTTGTTGGTAGACATCTTTGGCCTGAAGCTCCCTAAGAGGAATGCTGAGTGAGTGATCACAAAAACACCTGTCTGGAGCCATTGCTGGAAGACCCGGAGCTGTCTCGGAACCTCTCATTTAAAGGAGCATTGGTCTGAATTAAAGAATAAAGGAGTGAGCTCGTTGGTTATTTCAAATTGCACACAGTGAGTCAACTTAATGTTGCAGAAATCCAGTGTTCAACAGGTCACTGACATTTACCACTTTCTCAAAACCCACCAACTTAGATATTGTGTTAAACATGGTGATGGATAAAGGATCATGGTCATATCACATGAATAACTTTTAACCATACATGGCAGCTTGGTTTGTATACTCCCCAGGGGGTTGAGAATGACAAAAGAGTAATTACACAGTTGCACCATGAGATTCTGCTTCATGAACATTTACTTCATGAACAGCCTGGTGAAGATCCGGGTTGGAATTGGTCTTCATCAACCCATGCTTGTTGTACTGCTTGGGTAAGGACAAGCACGATAGCCTGTTCAAGAAGTTTGGACTTACGTACTCTTCGTCTTAATTCTGAGCTACTTCCTTTGTATAACACCCGTGAAGATCAGGGTTAGAATCAACCTTCAGTAACCCTTGCTTGTCCTAAGAGGCGACTAACATGATCGGGTGGTCAGACTCGCTGACTTGGTTGACACATGTCATTGCATTCCAATTGCATAGATCGATGCTCATGCTGTTGATCACAGAATTGTCTGTCCCAGACTCGATTATTTACAGACCGCCACCATATAGCTGGAATATTGCTGAGTGTGGCGTTCAACAACAAACCAAAACACTTCATGGACAGAATCCACGAACATATCGACATAACAGTAAATAAACTAAGGGATGTAAATCCACATGCACATTTGTAGCACATAAGATGGAGGCAAACTTGGATGAAGCATCAAATGGCTTAAAATTGGAATTTCAACAAGCACTATCAATGTCCGTTGTCAAGGTGCAGCAAGAGATCTAGCACTGACCATCCACTCTCCAGGCAGAAACTCTAAGAGTGAGTGTGTGAGTTTAGTTTTACGCCGCTTTCAGCAATATTCTGGCAATATCACAGTGGGGGGACACCAGAAATGGGCTTCACACATTGTACCAACATGGGGAATCGAACCCGGGTCTTCGGCGTGACGAGCGAACACTTTAACCACTAGGCTACCCACCGCCCTAGACACTCTAAGAATAGCTAACAAAACACTGCATGAACAAACAACTTACCCCTGACTGTGCGAAGAGCCTTTTGTTGTAGTTATACTTCTTGGACTGTAAAGACAAAAGCAATAGTCAGTTACCATGGTAACTAGGAATGACAAATCTTTATGGATGATCAACTTCTTTATTGTACAATACTTGATTATCCATAAAGACTTGTCATTCCCATTGCTGACAACTTCTAGAATGCCTCTTGAACAGACCATGGTTACTGTCGACACCATTTCTATTATCTAGTACAGCTAGTTCAGCTTGACCTGAGCTACTCTACATATGCATGACCCAGGAGGTCAAATGGCACAAATGGCAGGTCGAGTTAACCTCATTAAAGAGGGGAGCAGAGAATGTTAAATGGCGACCATGTCTCGGCTGTTCGGACACATTGACAATCAACTGACAGAGGTGCACCCCTTCAAAATAATAGACCCAATCAGTTTTGACACGGTCACGCGTAAATGCATTAGTATTCACTTGATCAGGCCAAGCTGAACAAGCTGTTGGAATGCAACAAATACACTGTGTGGCGAATATGATATGTATCATGAATATTGGGTAACGAATATGAATAATTATTCACGAATACAATATTGTAGTTAAGTGACTGATGTACAATATGGAATATTATTTAGGTTAACTAATAAAATCAAAGGACTCATATCTGTATGTCCAGAATTTTTAGGTATTAATTAGTCAGAAGCTGGAGGGAGAGTGGACAGGAGACCATTAAATATCTCACATCTTTAGAAAATGCCTTTCAGGCACATACATTGTGACACACCTGGCTTACCGATTCTTGTTGTGGAGGAGACTCATAGCTGAAAGGCAATGTGAGACTGGTTAGTGAGAGGCAAAATAGTCAACGATTCTGCAGAAATATCTCAGAACTGGCCACACAAACGAACAAACATGCCCTGAGTCTTTCTCACAAGAGTAATAAGTTGTGGGTTTTCTGGTAAGTTATCACAGTTCTCAGCAGTATTCCAGGTACACATGGTCTCAAGTCTGGACCAGGCAAGCCAGTGACTACAGGGTTCATACAGCCAATTAGATTCAAGGGCTTTTCAAAGAATTTTCATGGACATATGATGTGTTTTCAAGCACCACTTTCTTCCCAAAGTATCGCAGACAAGTTTCACTTTTAGTTTTGACATTGTCCGCTTCCAGCATTAACAACAATCTATCAGAACGCAGTGCGAATGCCCTATTCACAGAAAGAGCCCTTTTCTTATTTTATGATTCAAGGAACCAGGAAATAGACACAATTTTATCAAAACAATTGATTGATCATCAGTGCAACCACAACAAATATGTTAATGAAATTTCAAGTACTTTTCAAGGACATGATAAAAAATCCAGCACTTTTTAAGTACTATCGTGGTAAATTTCTTTGAACATAGTTAAATTCAAGCACTTTTCAAATCTGTGCAAACCTTGGACGAACATCAACTAACACACATGAAACACAATGGCATGCTTTAAGCAGCTGCATGCTATTGGGGATAACTCTGAACTGAGTCAGACAAGTATCCTGATCGAAGTACACTTTAACCACGAGGCTATATGAAAGACCATGGGTTCAGAGCCTGGTTGATGACACTATCATAAAGCTCATGTCACCATTGTAAAAATGATGGAAATAATCAAATAAATGTTTCTGTAGTTTGCAGTGACAATTGTTCATTTGTTTCATAAATTTTCATTTCCTGTAGACTGACACATGTGACCGCTGCCATCAGACTTATTGTTGTCCGGTAATGATCGCTTACTGACCCACGGTCAAGCTTACCTAGGGTTTTGTACGGAGATCGTCAATATTCCATCATTCTGTGATGAAGGAGCTTGAACAGGCCGACTGCGCCATCTGAAATAGATCAAACATGAATGCTTAGGGTAAAAATGAAATGCTTCAATTCCCATTCATGTACTAATATGTATGGAACATGTCAATACTAAGTTATGCTTTTCAAATACTAGTAGCCCATATGGGTGGAGTTGTAGCTGCTATCAAACCATTTCCTCATGTCATCGAGATACAAGTCATGTCCACCAGCGTTCCAGGTGAGCTGTGTACTTGCATAAAATACGCACAATACATCACGATTATGCAAAACAATTCTAAGTTGTTAACATACCAATACAGGGCACTATCTTTATAATGCCACACTGATAATACTGACTGACTGAGTATGGTTTTACGCCGCTTTTAGCAATATTCCAGCAACATCACGGCCGGGGACACCAGAAATGGGCTTCACACATTGTACCCATGTGGAGATTCGAAAACCGGGTCTTCAGCGTGACGAGCCAACGCTTTAACCACTAGGCTACCCCACCGCCCCACACACACTGATAATACACTGACGAACATAAACTGTTTTCATCCCGGACCCCCTTTCACAAAGCACTAAGGTGTTCACAAGTCACTAAGGTGTTCACAAGTCACTAAGGTGTTTACAAGTCACTAAGATAACCTTAGTGCAGTGTTAAAGAATGAGAGTTGAGGTTAACCTCAGTAAAGGTTGTTTCGTGAAAGGAGCTCGTGGAGACTTGTGGAAAAGTTTAGTTGAAATGCAAATAACAAACACACACAACTTAGAGGCCCTTGGAGGTACGTATGAATTTTACAAAAGACAATAGTATGATCGGTACAACGATCTGCGCAATTACCCAATATAGCCTCTAAATTGTGCACCTGTAATTCTTTAAATACCTTTGCTTATTGATCCAAAGTAGCAACACCTGTCTCGCATATCGGCGTATGTACGGATAACAAATATGCACGATACGGTAGGAAATAATTTAGAAAACGTAGCACATACACACCACGGTCTTAGAATCATTTACAGACGTATTTATCTGATAAAGTATTGTTTTATTGTTTATTGACCTGTTTACACAAGAGTAGAAATGCTGTGGTGCATATATGACATGAAACACAAGATTACTGATATTCAGTTCTCTAAATGTACTCTTAAGGTTCTCGAGTACTCCTATATTGAAAAAATAAGGAGTACGTACTCCTGATGTTGAAAATTTATAGGGAGCCCTGACCACTACTTACTGCCTCTTCTTCTGCTTGACAGTGCCACTTGACACAGAGGAGTTGAGAGATAAGGTGCTGCTGTAGTTGCTGCCAAGACGACGTAGTTTGCCACGTCCTCGACCTCCCCCTCGACTCACGTTCTGATAAGCAAACCCATATGATGCGACATCGACCTGATTCTGTACTTGGTTACCTCCCCTTGCATTGTAGTTTTGTCGATTGAGACGACCCCGTCCACCCGCCCCTCCCGGCCCCGGCCTCGGTTAGTGTTTTGATATTGCTGCTGCTGCTGCTGTGATGATGCCTGAAAGAGAAAACAGCAACGAAAAGTTGAGAATACTGACAAACATTGTCATCACATCTCAAATATATATATTTGACATCCAGTAATCTGCCATTAATAATGGACTGCCTTTGCAGAGACATAACAATTGATTTATTGGATGTAAATCAGAAACTGCAAACATACAATCAAAAACATAGTGCCTCCACTTGGATCGCAAGGCCATATCTTCTGTTAGGGATAAATAGACATGATTCTATTGAAATATGCATAGACATGGTATAGATGACATTTGTGCATCATAGCAAGGTAAAAGTATCCTTATGAAAAGTGGACTAGTATACATTCAACTAAAGGCCTCTGATCTTAAGCAATTAAAGACTCCGTCCCTTGTTGAACAAATCTTTGAGCTAAGGTGATTGTAACTTCCAGGGATGAGAATGGGTAGGAGTGAAAAAAGAGAAAAATGAGCCGGGGTCAGTCTAGGTGGCTGCAGATCCCCACGCCAGATCCAATGACCCCAGCATGATCAAATCTGAGAAATTCCTCAGAGAATTCTCATCCCTGAACTTCCATATGTTAACTGGGGCATACAGTATTCAGGGCTCCAGATAATTGTTCATGATCAGGAGTACGTACTCCTTGTTTTTTCAGTATAGGAGTACTTGAAAACAATAAGAGTACATTTAGAGTACCGAATGGAATTTAATGGAGCATCAGTAATCTTGTGTTTCGTTTCATATATGCACCACAAGATTGCTCTCTTGTGTAAACAGATCAATAAACAATACTTTATCAGATAAATACATTCTAAGACCGTACACCATTGCTGTGGTGCGTATCTGCTACGTTTTCTACGTTTATTATTTCCTACCCATACTTATTTTATATCTGTATATACGCCGATACGACCCTTATCTGGAGCCCTGAGTAGTCATGGCCCTTAGCTTGGTTTGTACAATGATCCCTGGGGTACTATGTTTAAGTTTTTAAACATGTCCTAGACTCATATATTCTAACTGAGATCGTTCCAATCGAAGGCTTTCACTACTTCTCCCCAAAAATAGATAGAGATATTGCTGAACAAGACAAGAGAGAGAGTGAGCCTAATGTTTGTTGTTTAATGCTGCACTCAGTAACATTCTAGCTATATGATGGTCTATTTATTCAAGGCACACTATCCCCACAGTCCAGGCCTGCCAAAGAAAACTTTGCCACTGTGCAGAAAAACGCAGAAAAGCCCACATTAATCGTGGAAATAGCAACATAGACATAATACCTCGCTACTGAAACAGTAAAAACGGCAGAAAGACTATGAAACTGCAACATTCTTTATCAGCGAGCTTTGACCTCTACTGTGCATGCACACTACGATCAAGCTTCTTTCCAATTCTGCAAGCAACCGTGAATCGCCTCGCGTAGAAAAAGTATTAAATATGTCGAAATAATTGCTGTGAATCATTTCATACGAATGGATAGTAAACTAAACAAGTGTGCACACAAGTATCATGATGATAAATGCCAAATAACACAATAGAAACTTAAAAAGGGAATGTAACTTTTGTCCAAGCTGGAAAATGTCACAATGCGGTCAAGACTTCCTCTTCCATGAGCGCATGCGCAAAATCCAAGTTGCAGGCTCTTCATTTTTATGCAGTTTTAGCGATTTATAGTTGCCGTTTTTACTGTTTCAGTAGCGAGGTATTATGTTTATGTTGCTATTTCCACGGTTAATGTGTGCTTTTCTGCGTTTTTCTGCACAGTGGCAAAGTTTTCTTTGGTAGGCCTGCAGTGACCCAGTCTGACACTTCATACTGTAATGGCTGCTGCAGACCACCCAGCATCCCAGAGGTGATAAAAGTGTAAAGTGCACACAAGGATCTTCATGAACATCTGACAAGACGAGAAGCTATTTGTCGACTGTGGTATTACCTGAAGCCCTCGGCGCTGGTTGACATGATTCTGTCTGCCAGCTGCCTGTGCGTCTATTCGAGCAAGCTGGTTCTTTGCTTTCTTCAGGGCTAAGACGGCCTTCAGCCTCTGCTGCTTGTAAGACTGTTGTTGCTGCTGCCGACCTTGACCTTGGTTGAACTTGCCACCTCTAGTTGACTTAGGATTTGTAGAATTCTTCAAACTTTGCTCCTGAAAGCCAATGACATCTTAGATATGATTAAGGCCAACATCAAGACATGTAATAGAGGGTTAAGGTGAACATCTTGTCTGCTATAGTATAACATGGACTTAGTGACCGTTCATAATCCATGGCTAGGAGATGATGATGATGATGATGATGATGATGATGATGATGATGATGATTTTTATGGAGAAGCATGTACATTGTGAATGACCCCCACCTAAAATCTATGTACAAAATAAGTGATACTTCTCCACCACCCCATGCCATCTACATAATCAATGACACCCCCCTCTTGTCCATGTGTACAAAATTGAATACACCCCCACTCCCACCCCACACCCCAGAAACAAATTGGTGACCCCCCTTACAATCATCATCTTAACATTTAAATACCACAATACCACACTCAGAAATATTCCAGCACACAATATAATGGCAACAGGGCAAACAATCAGTAGTGGACCAGGCAGTTTAGTGGCTGATATTATGAACAGCTAGCCACACTTCTGGGGTACAATTACATACAAACAGCCAGAAAACTGAGGTGGACCATCCCATCAATCTACCACCTCATACAAAGTGCTTGTGATGCAATCAGTAGTACCTGTGTTCTATTGAGGGGACTAATTCCAGATAGCCTCCGCAGTCGCCCCCGTCCACCAGGTCCTCTCATTCCTCCTCTCTGTAGGTTGGTGCGGAACTGTTTTACCTTGCTCACTCCTGCCCCTCCTCCTCCCCGTCCTCGGCTGGACCCCCGATTCAGGCCGCCACGACCTCTACCACCACGATTCTGCTTCTTGTTCAGCTTAATGATGTCATCTGGGGCAGAGAAACAACCATTCCATGTCATGTTTCTACTCTAAACGTCCTTTCCCATAAAATATAAAAATACTGCCAATGTACTGTAGTTCGTATGAAATTGTGACGGTTTAAAATCCTCATTGTCTTTATATCCATGTCCATGATTTCAGACATGTCAGGGTTAAAAAATCCAATCGCCCGACGCCTGGGACAAGTCAGTTTTCATTTTGGGCAATCAAATAATGGTATCTTACTTGTCTGTGGGCTACTAGACAATTTCCACTTATGGTTTCAAACTGCAAATAAACTTGGATTTAATTTCATATCTGCTCAAAATGTAGCTATTAAATTTTGCAATGATAATAAAGTAGAGTTATCTTTCTTTGCTATTTATCACTTTTCAATAAATAGTCCAGTAAAAATTAACATCAAATACCATGTTGATTTCTTCTTTCATAATTACATCATCATAATTATGTCATAAAATCAGGACAAGTGGAAAATTAGTCAACACAAGTTACTTTCTTAAAGTCACTTGCCCTGTAGCAGTCTTTCATAGTGGCTTTTAAACTTTTATTAAAAAATTTGAACCCCTGCATGTCTTTTAACATGGAATTCATCTAAGCATACATTTGAGTATGTTATAATGCTGGAGTGACTGATCTACTAAGCAGACTTTCAATCGATCTCATTTCCATCAGTGATTATTGATGAGCTCAGCAAACACCAAATGAAACTTATATGTTTCATATTGCTATGTTTGTTAAATCAATACATAAACAACTGCTGCATCCCATTCGGGAATCGAACCCACACCCTCAAAGTCAGGCACCTAACTGCCAGCACACAAAGTCAACCACCACGGCTTCCACAAAAATGGAAGTCGGACAACTGGTTGTCTGGACCACGGGCTGTGTGTTCCCTGCTGATAAGTGTTATATCCATGCAAATTGGTCTTGGTAAACACATGAAGATACACGGGTCCCACAGCCGATAGGTATGAAAACACATTGTAATGCCATTTACAAAGTGGTCATATTTAACAAATGTTAGATTTAGGATTACACTTTCTCAACAAAGTACTGATTACCATGATCAAAATGCGATGATTTGTTTAATGGTACTGAGCCAGGCAGGAAATGGAAGTATACCTTTTGTGTTATATCCATGCATTGTGGTTCGGATCAGTGGTTGGATGTCTTGGTAAACACATGATACTGTTTGATTTTATATTACTTCACAGCATATCTAACAAAATTCAATCTACATGATGCTAACAAGGAATGATGACATGTTGTCAACCAAGTCAAGGAATCTGTCCATCCAGTCCATTGTGTCACCTCTGTCAGCATAGCTTGTCCATAGTGAGTGAGTTTAGTTTTACGTCTCTTTTAGCAATATTCCAGCAATATCACGGTGGGGGACACCAGAAATGGGCTTCACACATTGTACCCACGTAGGGAATCGAACCCGTGTCTTCAGCGTGACGAGCCAACGCTTTAACCACAAGGCTACCCCACCGCCCCAGAGTGTCCAGAATGTAAATAGAACAGACAAAGCAATTCTTATTGTATCACATACACCATAACAGTGACCTGAGAAGTAAGAGAATTGACAAATGAGGGTGCTTATTACAATGACAGCTAGCTAATATATTGTCAGAGATCATGTCTAGTAACCTAGTCTAACATGTTTGAATGTTCATGCAACTATTACAGTTTGAATAGTAGTCATCTGGTCATGAGACAATGATACACCTTTCAATTGTGCTAGATAGCTTTAAACAAATCTGGAATATAACAGAGGTACAGATAAGCTGCGTATCTGCATAAATTATGCAAATATTTATGTGAAAACTCAATTCTTATTAAGTCTACACTTGAAAATACTCAATTTGATTTTACATGCGTACACAGAGAAATGGCAAATCTTAGCTTGCATAGATAAAATAACTGAGGTATATTAAGAGGTTCTATTTCAACACATAACTTGACAACTTAGTTGCAGTCTTTTCTTATCGTTTCTCATATTACATATCCAATGTGAATAACATTTAACCTTTACAATTTTTACAATTAATGGAAAATGGCAAAATATCCAATTGAGTTTGAGTGAGGTGGGTACAATTTATTTGGTTACTCAAATGAAAATTAGGACACCCAAATGAGATGAACACAAGCGAGTACATAACTCAATGACCCAAAATAATCAACAAAATATGCCCCATGTTAATTTCTCAATAATGCATGGTGCTTATAAAGATTACATACATACTTGCTGGTTTGCCCAGAATTTGAGGCTTGTATTGATGCATGGCAATAATACAGCAAATATTATATCAAGGAAATATCTACGATTCCAAACGATGTATTCTTCACAGGCAAACTCTTTATTCAAAATCAAATTTTATACATTTGGTATATTCTCAAATTAAGATGCATTTTATGCTATATCCAGAGAGCAACAGTGCACAAGCAGTTTAGGATCAATTAAACATGGATACCCAGTCGCTACGCCATGAGAAGTTTTATTGACAATGGAAATCGGGAAGTAAAGTTATATAAAAAGCAAACAAACATCAATATCATTTACCCGAGATTATTAATAACACTTCAGATGAAAAATCGAAAACCCATACAAAATCCCTGGATGTGACAAGCAGCAACAGTTTCGCCGATATGATGTCATCAACGCTATTTTTGTAGGAAACACTTGATATTTTTGTGTGAAATAGATGAATATATCCTTTATCACTCAAGGTTAGTAAAACATAAACTTTAAACATGTTAAATGATATTGCAGATAAAAATGTCGAAAACTCCTGACACCGGGATATGTCATCATTATTATATGTCATCATAACAATAGCAATTGGTGTACATGGAACTCCTAAACATGGCACTCTAAGGATCAACTGTTGCAACTCATAATTCAGACAACATAATGAATTTTGTGTACTTTCCAGTGCCATTTTTGTATACAGCTTGCCCTGGTTTCTTCGTGTCAGCCCAATGTGCCCTGGGTTCACTATTGACACAACCTGTTCCACCCGACTAAGTGTTTGTTCAGCGGGTGTGGCCCTATTCATATGGCAACAGCTATGCCTGAATGATGGTGAGGTGTATTCGTGTATAACGATCTCCACCTATTGATCGCAGCAACATGTGTTTGGGGAACGCATTTGGTGACGTTGTCGAAAACACGAGCTCTCCTGTGATATCCCTATGATTAGTAATACCATTACACACAAAAGATAATTCTTGATTTCGGGCTAAATTGTTATTCTGTTGAAAATTACTATCATATTCCTATGAAACTGTCCAAATATCACACATGATGTCGTACGAAACGGATCAGTTTGACGAGAATCCCTCAAAATATCACCTCAGTTGCAACTATGGAATGAGCTTTTCAAAATGTACATGGCTACACATAAACAGTTTATTTTTGGAAGTAACACTACTGTATAAGGTAGTCAATAACATAATAGGACGAAAACAATGTCAAACTTTGAAGCCAAACGAGGTTGATTTGTTCACTTGGCCAAGTAGCGAATATGAGAATATTTCAGACACCAACGGAAGTAAGAACAGTTGCATTTCAAATAAGCGTATTATATTAACAACGCATCATTTCAGATTTCATACATACCAAGTGACATGTCCACTTTGTTTATCGTAGACATGTTTGGGTAATCCGCGATATCAATTTCACTGCCAAACTTAGGAAAGTTTTATCAACGTCCGGCAGACGGCGCTCTTGGTGCTATATGGGGTACGACTAGTAACCATGCTAAGATTTTATAGCAACTCCTGTTGACGTGTTCATTATCTCAACGTCATAAAGGACTGAAAGAAAGCATACATTCGTTCATGCATGAAGGAAATTTCTCCTTATACAATTACAACGGACACATAATTGATATGACGTTTCTCTGAAATGTCTGCGGGAAGAAAAAAATAGAAAACTACCAAATATTAATCAGAATGAATATATTGTCGACAAAAAATCTAAAATTTGTGTAGTGTAAATTTAGGTTTACTCACAATTAAATTTCCATTTTACACCCGGAACAATTTCACCCCGTTTGGATGTACATGTATTTACATATATGCAAAATGACATATTGTTGTTCACATGTGTTATTGATTGTAATTCATATCATAAGTCGGTGTATTACCCTTGTATATACTGTTGTAATTCCTCATGTATTTCCTATGAAACAACGACAAGAGTTGTGCTTTAATGGGGAAAATATTATCGGTTTAACTGTTATTTAAAAATTAGATATGATAACATACAAATAAACAATATCATTATCATAACAACTTTTCTAGAAGCATCATATTGTTGAAACAATTAAATACACCATTACAATAATTATTTGAAACCGTCTATTAACACTACTGATACATTGCCGAAGGGCGAAGAACAAGAGGTGACGTTGATAGAGACGATAGTTAACACGGATTAAAGGCGGATTAACACCTTTGATCATTGTTAACGTAAAACGATAAACGTCAAAAGAAGATACAGATGTCAATATCTGTAGGTACAAGATTTGTGGCTGTGATTGACAGTGAGTTATGTCTAGCGCCACTTTGAGCAGTATTTAGGTATGTCAGGCCGTGTCAGCTTGAGGTGGGGTGCATCCTCGATAATCTCCAGGGTATACGTTACGATCACTCTCTATAGTGGAGAGTGATCGTAACGTATACCCTGGAGATCATCGAGGATGGGTGGGGTGAAGTGATGGATAGTTCTGGCGTTTACCACCTTTTCATATTGTGAGGCTGGAGTTGTTTGCTCGTTAGTTCTGGGTTCTTGTATTTGTTTTTGTTTTGTTGTTTTGTTGTTGTTTTGTGTGTGTGTGTGTGTGTTTGTGTGTGTGTGTTGTTTGTTTGTTTGTTTGTTTGTTTAAGTGTGCATTTGTTTAACGCTGCACGCGGCAATATTCCAGTGTGCAAAAATGGCTCAGACAATCCCGTGATTGTCATCGGTTTATGGGATTGGGAAAATGATATATGATGATATGTGTCTTTATGGTAAGAAATGCAAAATGTACGCAAGTTCAGTTTCGAGTTTGTTTATTCTGAAGTCCAATAGACGTCTTTGTTCACGTTGTATTACAAATGCCGCGTGGAAGATATTACTAAAGAAAATTACTCATCGGATTTCTAAAACGAAATATGAATACATAGTCTTTCAGTTTATAAAAAATACTAAATTGGTGTGTTTTTGAAATGAAATATGTTGCATTTCACTTCTTGTTTACATTTGTCATTTTCATTGTTCAAGCAATCGTCACGACTGCCGACATTATCCCATGCACAGTCATGGCGATTTTATGTGCGTTTACTGTAGTTATATTGTCACTTCACAGTCAACAGGTTAGGAAGGTCATTTTGGAAATACCCCGACATTCTGCGTAATTGTCTGTAAGTATAGCAGAGAATATATTACACAACCTTCAATGTTCCTTCTCGCAATAAATGGGCTAAATTTATAAACTTGTGATTCTTTTATTAACATAAATCTCGGATAAGAATTCACCGAACTCATATATACTGATATTGGACATTTTGATCAAATGTAACCTGGTGATATATTCATATTTGTTTTTTTGGTCTTTTAAAATTATGACTGAAGTTTTGGCACTTTCGGAAATGTCAAACTATTGCGTTACTGATATATACACATTGTGATTTCAGTGCAGGGCTGGTCACCACAATATTTAACTAAACTGAATTTGCAACTAAATAGTCTTGAATAATGACAAAAGTTAATGCTCCCTCTTCGATGTTAGTCAAAATATTGATTTTAACTGGAGCTGTGTCCAATACTTTGAATGTGTTGTGGATCTCTTCAAGAAAGCACCGAATATAGCCTCAAAAACAGTATTTATTTTAAAATAGTCTTTGTTAAAATAGCTAAAGCGAAGGAGGCACAAACGAACGTTGAACACGTAGATACGTTGAACTCCATGGCCATCCTTCTCGCAGATTGTTCCTGAGTTTTATTAATAAATTTTGCCATCCTGAAGATCAGGATTGCAATTTGTCTTCAGCGGAGCACGATATTCAAAGACTGTCCGTACTTTTACTGTGTTTCCCATCTTCCGCCGCCGTCATTTTGACGTGAAATAATAATTTTTTCTGATCTTAATTTCCCCACAGCCGTGGAAATATATGTCCTGTGTGATAAAACGTATATTCTTACTCTTGCGCACTCATAAAATATATTTCAGTTGGATCTTTCATTATCAAGACTTCTTAAAAAAAATATTCTGAGACAAAGAAACTCAATCTACATCATAAACTAATTTAAGGACGATTATCAAATAATCCAAATTTTTAATTTTCATAAATTATTGAAAAAAGCATTTTCTAATAACTTTTATGTTGTGTTTATTCCAGTTACAAACATAATCATATCTTCTTACAAAAATTTATGAGGTTTTAGTTTGGAGATGAAAACATAACAAATGCGGATGGCAAACGGGATCGGGGTGGGTGGGTGGGGCTGGGTGGGCTCGGGTGTGTGTTGCACTTTATTGATGCATGCCATCGTATCCCGATTGCGTAGGTCGGTTCTCATTATGTCCATCACTGAACTGTCTAGTTCGTTGTTTGCAGACCGCCGTCATAGAGCTTGAGTAATGCAAAGTGTTGAACAGCAACATACCTTTTTGGATTATTGCGCAACAAAAAAGGGAGCGGGTTAAGATATTGTACGTGCGCATCAGTGCATTGCCATCACGTGGATGGAATGTTCAAACATTGAAATTCACTGGATGCAAACATCATTTATCCAGTGAGTTGGGTTTTACGACACTTTTAGCAATATTCCAGCAATATCACGGCGGGGGACACCAGTAATGGGCTTCACACATTGTACCCATGTGGGGAATCAATCCTGAGTCTTCGGCGTGACAAGCGAATGCTCCAACCACTAGGCTACACATCCAATATTCATGACAAATGATGCATGAGCATATAGCAAAGATAGGATAGCCAAGTGGTGAAATCGTTCCTTCCTGTACGCCCAAGGACTGGGTTCTATTCCGTGGACATGGCTAGAAACACGTTGATGAAGCCCTGGTCTGGTGTATCCCACTGCGATTTACTGGCATTATCTGCCCATTCTTCTTTATGCACGATAAATTGCAAGCGCTAGAAGTCGAAAATAACACCACAAGCGCTTAATCAACTAAAAATAATATTATAAATAAAAAAATAAAATAAAATACATTGTATAGACGCATATAGTCAAGACACGCACACACGCCGAAAAGGACTTTCTATTTGAGAAAGGGGAGACAACTCGAGCAGCCTTGGTGCCATGAGGTTTTGTATCCAGACATACAATATAATCAAACTGCGTGGCGTGAATAGAATAGGCGTGAATCACAAAAACATTTTTACTGTCCTGTTCTACGTTTAGGTTATCAAAGCACACTAGACTTTTCTAACCGGGGTTATTTATTTTGGAGACAACTACACAAGATCAGAATTTTTCAAACTTTTGCGAGTGTATCGCGATTCTTCCTGACAGATTTTCTTTTTCAGCGAAGCATCAAAGACAATTATTCGAAAGTACATCCATTCAAAACTATAGAAGGTTCTCGAAAGTACATCCATTCAAAACTACGGTTAGAAGGTTCTCTGCGGTTTGAAGGCCCTACAGTTTATTGATTCTTAGAAACAACGGCGAAAAAGATAACAAATGAAAGTGTACAAGATATTTGCGTACCACTGTAAAGATCCCAAAAAATCCCCGTCTCTCTCTGGTTGAAGCGTGAGCTCGAGACCGCCTATATCCCGGGTTCGATTCACCGCTGATAGTGCATGGTGGAATATTTGATATTCGGACGGGGAAAGCCTTCCACCCGGATTCCACTTCACCACATGGGTACACAGTATGTGTAAAGTCCATTTCTGTTGTCCCCCAGCGTGATATTGCAGACAGATTGTTAAAAGCGACGTAAAACTGTATTCTCTCACTCCATTCTAAGTCACTAAAGCTGTTGCATGTTTAGTGGATAATTCCCGATAAAATACAAAGAAAAAGAATAAAAACCCTGCAACTATTCCATCAAAGCTACTTAAACGACGACATAAGTTAACACACGTTAAAATCCGTAACAGAAGGCCACTTAGCTTGATATGTTAAAATAACGTCGTCTACATTGATTTTCATTTTAAAACGCTGCTGAAGAAACTTTACAGAGCACTCTGTCTTTCATGAAAATGTCTCAGCACACACAAACTCAACAACAAAGACCAGAGTGGCTGAGATAACGTGATGACGTGTTGGCTTTGTATCGACCAGAATATTGAACTTGAAGCCATTTTAGGTTTTAAGATGTTTACCATGAAGGAAAGTCAAAGAACCACGTTGCGTCAGTTTTGTAGATAATTTATGACATTGATCAGTGTGTCTAACGATGTTATGTGCACACTGCGGAAAGCGTTGTTTTGTACTTGTACGTTGAAAAGTAAAGATGAAAGGAGATGAACTTTAACGTCAAGCACAAGATTCCATAAGATTGCATGGTGCACATGTTCAGGTGCTTCAATTCCACTGAGGTGAGATGAGACTTAACGTCGAGCTAAGGATTCCAGAAGATCGCGTGCTGCACGTGTTTTAAAGTTCATGTTAAACGTGACATGAATGTGTCCGCCTTAATCCGATGTCGACAACGGATGATCATTGGGCTCTTGGTCAATTAATTACATTTTCTTAAACATTTGGTGTTATCTCTAAATATCAGTGGTCCATTTAGTGAACCTTCACGCCTATTTCAATGTATGTTTCATCTGACCCAGTAGGATCAGTTTCGCTAGGTTTTAGATAGTGATTATTTTTGGGCCTTGACGTTATATACTCATGGAAACAAATAAGGGATCACACGAAAGCACAAGTGTTCCTTTATCTTTTTTCCAGGTTTCTTCACAAGTTGAGCGAAACAACGCTTGTGAAGAAACCTGGGGAAAAATAAAGGAACACTTGTGCTTTCATGTGATCCCTTATTTTTTCCGCTCAGTATATATTTGTGAGGGATACAATGGTAGTTCAGCACGACAAAAACTCAACTTCGACTCTCATTTGATTTTCTGACAGTATCTAAGAAATCCCTAACAACCACAATCGCCACTTTTGTATAGGACCCTTACTTTGCAATGATTATATTCATCTTACATCCCGGTTTTATAGCTTCACCATCTTAAGGAATATGTCGTGCGTACTTGCTGATGGAAGTCTGATGCTCAGATGGGGAATGGTTCAAAAGACATCCAGATCAATAGGCCCCTAGTGAATACAGTCGAGAATTGTCTAACTTTTATACGCCAAAAGTTTGCGATGATGTAATAAATCACGACAGCTGTATATTAGCAACAAGGCTGACAAGGCACATAAACAGTTTAAAGGAGAATTCCGAAAAAGTGACGCCTGTTCGTTACGAAGCAGGAAACTAAGTGAAAAACGTCTCCATCCTGATTGTTAAAGTCACAGGGTCTGTAGCTCACCTGCTGTGCTTACATAATATACTGGACAAAATAAGTA